TAGAATTATTTTGCAAACATTGTATACCTTTAACCTTTCACTAAAGCTTCTGTACAGAATTATACGGTTCATATGGACTTCAGTCAAGACGTAGACATCCTCATAAGTATTCGAAACATTCTTACTGCAATTGGTCTGTCGTTGTTCATGACAATTTTCTCTTAAAGTGTGTTAACTTGTCAAGATAACGTCCCGTTATCCGGTAACGCTGGCATGTCAGAAGATATCACTAGTGATGGACACATAAGCTATCTTAAAGAACCTACTGAGTTAAATTTCCCCCAGTAGAGGGTTAAAGTTTATCAATCGAGTTGATAACTAACAGAATAGTTCTTTTGTTCTGTGACGGGATATTTAGATGTTTGGTGTTCGCGCTTTTCGAGGTAGTGCTCTTGAAGGCTGAGGTAGAAAGCAGATGTTTTTAAACAGACTGAATATTTTATTTGCATGTGACGAAGGCCCAGTTAAAATCAAGCTACGACCTTAAACAAAAATAAATTCAGTGATTGGAGATGGCTTGATAGAAGCAGCGGTACACACTGGATCTAAAGTTTTCGGCAGTGAGTGCTTGGTGAATAGAAAGATAATTTAGTAAACTGATAAGATGGTCTGCTACGTGAGTATCTGAACAGTAGACAGCGATGGGCGTTTTAGTGATGGACTTCGTTAAACACCGAATTTTAGCTCAGGGTGTGTTTCTGTCTCGCTTTGAATCTGAGTTAGCACTTCAAGATGACTAAGAAACAAAACATAGCATCGATCTCTCCTCTGTTACAAAGCAAAATGTCCATTATCACTCATACTTTTGCCGAGTTGGATTCCGACCCACGTGCTTTTAACGCGCTCTCCAAAATGATGGGGTCTGCGTACATCAGTGGAACCATATCGTGTCGCTTTTCTTAGTGGAAGTATTCAGTCTGGTCATTCAGATTGTTTTGGAGAGCTCAACTGGCAGATTCCTCAGAGTAACTACTGTTCAACATCAGAAACTTCAGTAGCAAGTTTTAAAAATCCATATTTTTCTTTGCCAATAGAGAGTTTCAATATATTATTTACGGACTGGCCACACGAGCACTTAATGCAAATTGGAAGTACTTTTGGCCCGTTCCGTTTCAAAACCGTCTTGTGGTGGAGCCGTGGGGTCTGCACATAAATCCGATCTAAACTATTACCTGTGTAAGTATGAAGGCTTACCTGTGCGAAACTTTACAGCGATATCGGCGATGAAAATCACGTCGGATATTGTGTTGAATATAATCCAGTGGATGCTCAAATCATCGTTGAAAAACGATATGGCCACCGGAAGTATGATCAAATTGGCAATCAATAGAACCAACATAAGCAGGTCCCAGTAGAACCTAATAACGCAAATGTAGAAAACACTTTTACAGAAAAATTTCAGTTACTTTGACCTGAATTTAGCCTAGCTATCAACAGTTGAAGGTTAAAAGAGACACGTTCTAAGAAAACACATCCTGCTGCCCACTTTAATACTCACTTTATTACTTACTTCTACATTCTATTCGATTATATGTGCATAAATACGCTTTGCAAATTTGTGAGATAAATAATACTGTCTTTTTTCAGTGAAGTAAAGCTGCTGTACATTGAACACAAATGACCATTTTGCATCTTTTGCCTCAATGAATGAACTGTTCCTTACTATATTATACATCACATTACCGTGTCCGTCAAACATTCAAAGTTTATCAGAAAAATATCTCTTGCTAATTTAATTTGATAAGTCACGAATAACTATCATGCATGTACGGATTATTCAGCAATATTCAGAAATATTGGCAGTTATAAATCAACTGACATTGCGAACCGGAGATCTGTATGCCACCTAACGCGTTATATGAAAGATAGAGCGAAAGAAGATAAGTTCAAAATACTTGAAAGCGCACAGATAAAATTAAGTCGTACACAATTACGGAAAACTACAAGAAATCTGTAAAAAGTATATTTCATTTTGACCGGCCAAATTAATCACTGTGATATACTCGCAGGGTGACTCCTCAGATTCTCGGATTATTTTCATTGCTCCTAATACAATGAATTCCTGAATCTCCGCAAGGCCAAGGTGAAGCTTTATTATGTAATGGCTCTGTAAATGTGAATAAAAAGCTTCTTATCTACTATATTTGTTAGTGAGGCTAGAAGCGCCCTGTGCTACATACTTGAACTAATTGTAAGATAAATAGCACCACAAATGATCAACTAATTCTAAGTTCAGACTTCTCCGTTGTATGTTAATTGTTAAAACATTTATGTACATTTTGATTTATGTGTATTGATTTAGCAGCATTAATTGTATAGATTTTTTATTCAGAAATGATTGATAATTTTTTGTGTTTTTTTCCTTAATCTGACTAGCATAAATGACATCGTACGAAAAGGGCAACTAACTTCAGGTGTAATTATGGCCTTGTCAAAAGAACGGTCACCAGTAAGGAATGAATCAAAGCTACAACAGGACATTTGTTTTTCATCTACCGCAGAAGCGCTTTTTCAGAATTATTACAAACAGTTAGATTAGTCGAAAAATGTTTAGAGGATTGGCTGTGTCTTTAAAGCAGGACATACATGCTGGCAGGCAATTTACTGTCGTTGTTTTTGTTGTTAGTCAAGTGATATTAATAGTATGTTGAGTAATATTCGTCTGATTTATGGAGCAAAAAGGTGGTAAAGATACGCCGCTGAAACTTCTATTGAGTGAGCATTTAAATTACCCAGTAATATGTCGTGATCTTAAAAGTGGTGTATTCGTCTTGAATGTAAAGTTTTGTTATGCAGGGACTTTGACAGTCCAATGAAATTTTACGCTTCAGCTGAAGGTAATTTTATCCGAGAAGCAAAGAACCATTATACAGCTGTTTTTCCTCTTGTTTTGAAAAGCAGATGTGTTCACCTCACAAAAATGAGGGAAAATTAGAGCTTTTATCTCTGCAGTTATTAGCTAAGGGCCGTATCCCTCGACCAAAGGAGCATTGAAATTGTGATCCACTTATGATGTTTTAGTTGTATACGCAAAGTTTCATCCTAAAACTGGAGTCAGTCTAATTCAAAAAGCAGAGAAACCTCTCGATGGAATCATTATTATTGGATATCTCGAGCAGGACATTTTGAATGCCAGCTGTCAAAAATTTATGGGAGTCACTTTAGTTAACAGTGTAGTTGCTAGACCGAGCTCAGGCAGCGGTTCTCCTTAACAAAATCTTTCGGTGAATTGTTGAACATTTAAAAAACGTATATCTTTACTAATTGTATGTACCGCTAAATAACTGTTTTCTCGTAATTTGTCCACTATTATGTTGTAATGACTGATGTGCACAGGTATGACACTGGCCTGTACATTGACCTATGAGAAGTAGCTGGGAAATAAGTAACATACATTACACGACCAAAGCAGTGATTTTGTATGACGAGTAATTTGAATTGTTGAACATTTAAAAAACATATATCTTTACTAATTGTATGTACCGCTAAATAACTGTTTTCTCGTAATTTGTCCACTATTGTTTTGTAATGACTGATGTACACAGGTATGACACTGGCCTGAACATTGACCTATGAGAAGTAGCTGGGAAACAAGTAACATACATAACACGACCAAAGCAGTGCTTTTGTATGACGAGTAATATTCTCACAACTCAGGTCTTTGGTTCACACTAAACATCGGGAGCCCCTTCCAAGAACAATCACTTCTTGTCACGTGGCCGGAATCATGTTTTAATTTGTTTGTGTCTATGAAATCGAAAGTTAAGTATTCCGGAATGGGAAGAATGACCTCATTGATGAGATAAGTCGCTTTAAAGTGGAACCATCACTTTGCTCAATTGCTCCTAAGAGCATGACGGGGATGGGAATGATAAACGTCTGCACTGATGTGGGCTTTGCCCAAGATTTTCCATCTCATTGGACCGCATGCTGTTTATCGAAAAAACAAAAAATTAGACTGCGCGGTTCAGAGTATTATTCACTGTGACTGATGTTTTCTTATATCAATGAAACAACAAACTAAATCACTTAGATCGTCCGCATCGCGCTGTTGTCACAAAACTTTTGTGACTGTATTCACGACTGTAAGCCTAACCGACAGCCAGCTGATTCGATTCCATAGTTGTTTAGTGTTAGGAATAAACACATCAACTACCACAAACTTTTATTCCATGCGTCATTCTTACAAATCGGACACAGCCATTACTCAACCCTAATGATCAAATTTTATAATACGTTTCGTGGCTATGAATGGCTGTGTACAGGGTGTATGGTGTGCCCATTTTACCGTGCTTTCTCCCTAAATTTCGATCAAGTAAGGTTTATTCCAAACTACATGCTTTTTTACCCGGACAACACTGTCAATATGCGGTGTAAGCACACTAGATTTTGATCGACAGAGATGACTTGCGTCGCTCGTTTCTATATAGTATTCGACACTGCGTATTGAATAGGCTTCAGGGTAGTCCTACTGTGACGCCACTGAAGCCATTAAAATTTTGCTTACAGCTCGCAGAAGAATATCGAATGGATCAGTAAAACTATCGCGGGAGCTCTTCATATTCTTTCGGTGAAAACTCTGAATTATTTGCACGCTAGTCGGTTAGTTGGTTTGTTGGTGGCTTACTCAACTGGATAGTTGTTCGGTTAGTTAATGATTTAGGTGTTTGTTTAATTATATTGTTAGTTAGCTAGTTATTTAGTAAGGTAGTTGTGCTAGTTAGTGAGTGTGCAGAAAACATAAGTATTCTAAATTGATAAAGGCATGAGAAAATCCATAAGTGCATCTCATGATTTTTGGCAAGCCGTAGGCAAATCCACGTAAAAGGCTTTTTGGCTTGGCGCGACCAAGACAAATCAGATCCAGGATAATTTTGCTTCCATCTTTAGCTTTTTTTGCTCAAAAACTGAACTCTTGTGGTCTCATACAAATTTTTTGACAGAAATCTTCTACTTCAATGCTTTATTGATTTCATAAGGCACACATATCCAACCCTCTTTCAAAACAAGCCGACGGGGTTCACATACACAAGAATAGACTGTTTTCCTGGTGCTCAATGGTAGGAAATATTCTTTTATGGTTGGTGGTATTATTGGTGCTAAAGTTATTTGGACGTATGCATGTCGTGAATTAACTGAGTAAGCGGGTTGTTGCCAAAATTGTTAGATGTAACATACGTGAAATCATTGGTTGGCAGAGTTCTGTTTAAACATACCTACTAACCGCTAGATGAACTCCACAATGTCATGAGAACGAAGACTACAATGACTACAATGGGTATATTTAGCCGCCTAGGAACTCCACAATGATCTGCTTTCAGGTACGTACCACAGTTTGTTTATTGACCCACTCTTTCTGTTATTTTATAGCCACAGTAAAGAAAACCGTTCGCACAATGTTGGAGCCACGCTCTGCGCGTAAATTTAGCACAAATGGTCGGGATCTATTGGTTATTGGTTCAATAATTCCCTGGCTCATCCGAAACGGTATTCATGGATGCTTAGGTTGGCTTCATGTTCGCTTTACAGTATCCTTAGTTTTTCGCAAAAATTGCTGTCTTAACTAGCAGTATGTGCTTGCGTATTGCCCAACATTCCATTTCCATTTGGCACTCATGGACTTCCAACTTTTTATGCATATGGTCAAACATCTGTTTGACAGAAGGAGAAACTCCTACAGATCTCTCTGAAGAGAGGAAAATCGGGAGGGATTGGTTATCAGTAGCTGTCTTCATTGACGTTCAACGCTTGACCGAATAATGAAAACACTATGTTGCAACGTATCCAGAAGTGCTGCTCAACTTTTGATCACCGCACATAACCTTTTGCAGAAATTCACCTAGAAGAATTTCAAAAACAAAAGGATAATACTTGAAGTCAGACTTTTGTCATCCGACTCTTTAGGGGTTCAAGGTTAACGGCAACACATAAGGTATATACTCTCAAAGCTAGGTGACTGAGTTGAACAGGCAGTCGTTTCGGCTTATGCAAGCATGTTGCATGTTGATTACCACATATTTACTTCACCCCATTCTCTACGTATGGACATTTATCTAAAGAATTTGAGAGTGGTCCAACAAAACTACTTGATCTGATGCTCTAGTGCGCATTGGCGGAAACTCTTTGCAGCGCTTGATACCCATGTAAGTTTTGAGGTAATCGACAAGCGTCTCTTAGGTCCAGCAACATGCAATCTCAGTTTTCTTTACGCCGAATTCCATTTTGACCATCTTGTCTTTCACCTTTGGCAGAGCTGCGCCCTGTGTTTTAAGAATCAGTTTTGTGGCACACCACTGTAGTTGAATTGTGACGCGTACACTGCATGAATGTAGACATATTTTGCTCTTCTAAGTTGGAA